CGCCATATGTACAATGACCCATAGTTTTGGTGTTCCTTGACTTCTGTGGTGCGTTCAGTCATGTCAGTTGGTCGGTACTGTTAACCATACATGCTAACAGGGCAACTCCAGAATTTTGGGAGCCTATGTGTTCCTGTGTGGTGAGCTCTCCAAAAGCTCCCTACAAAAAATCGGTGTTCACTCTTTTCGTCCTTGTTCAAATTCACCATCGACGAAATAATGAGGCAGACAGTGGATGGTTTTCAAAACTTCGGTGTTCAAAACGTTGCTGGTGAGAACTTTTTCGATGTGGAGTACGCAGACGAAATCATCCCTTTCAGTGGAGACGAAGGCGAAGCGTAAGCCCCGTTGATGAAACTGACTATCATCATACCATCTTTCAGTATGCGCTTCGCACCTTTAGGGGGTAAAGTCATGCTACAAAATGTGCAATCTCTGAATTTGCGTCTTACACTTCTAATAGAAGCTTTGGATATTGAAGGGAATTTTAACTTGGTAGTTGTATCAGACATGACGGAAGTGTGTCTGATGATGTTGTTGCATGAATCCTAAAGGCCCAAATCACGTTTGCTAATTGGCGTCACTTGTGGCGCCGAAATGGTATATTAATGGGTCACAAGTGAAGCGTGTACGGGGTTAAAGTATGGCCTGTATTATTAGATGGTTGAGATATGGTCCCTACGGCAGATGATATGAGGGTTTCTCAGGTTTTGATCACCGATACCTCAAAAGCGTTGCTGGCATCGGATAGTGTCAAAGGATTTGTAATGAGGTAATCCGAATACGAGTATTTTGTTGTGCAGCAGGTTCTTCACTTGCGGAAAGCATTTAGCGCCATTAACTGCGGTGTCTTGGTCGTGCATTAAGCACGCCAAAACACCAGATACCGAAACGAGTGTTGTTACCTGTGCCTCCATCACAACGACGCCAACTATGAGGTGAACAATGTTTGATCCAACAGAAGAGTGTGAAAGAGATTACGACGAGTTTAGCTGTTGTTGGTGCGGTCTGCATCACAGGACGGGTCCTCGTGACCCCTGCTGCACTTGACTGAAAGCAATGCAGAAGTACTGGCCAGTCGATGTCAGGGGAGTTGGTGCTGTCAATTTCTAACCAGATTGTCTTGTTGAGCACTTAGAGGTAGGCTAGATTCAGTTCCCCTCCCTCACCCGCTGCTTCCTCTTTTTTTTCACTCCAATACTTAAAATATGATCACGTAAAATTTGTGGTTGTAGGGCGGTGGCCATCAACTCTTACGTTACTGTCTCTGATGACGATGACGTTGATGATGGCAGGCAATGCAGGTTATTGGGAAAATTGCCAAAGGCTCTACATAGGCGTAGTAGAGAGTGGAAACTTCACTTTTCTCAGATTCTCTTCGGAAATTTAGCTGTACGATTTACCACACAACGTAAAGATTACAATCTCTGTACCATCTACCGTATTAGAGGTCTTTCTGTGGATGCATTCTTTCCTGATGCGTAGTACATTCTCGGGTGGTCAGAAACCCGCAAGTAGCGAGTCCATTTGGAATCAGGAAGGATTTGGGTTTTTGTTCTCCTTGGAGTTCCCAAGCTACGTAATGTTCACGTTTCTCAGTACGAAAGAAGTGGTTGTGGAGATCATCTTGGCGTTTCAGTATCGAATGATCTTAATTACAGGAAGAAATCTAGATTTCAAACTTCGTGCTATAAGCACCATCCAAAAACCTTTGTTTTTTGGACAGTGGGATTCCTAATGAAATTGAAGTGAATTTTTAGTTCCAGAGATCGGTAACGTGAAGAATCTGAGCACAAGTCCCCTCACCTTTATGACGTTTCCTGAAAGCCAGAACTACTTTGGCCTATCCAAAATCCTTTAGAAACCACTGATTAGTTAGCATGCTGGTGCAGCAGCTGATTCATAAAACAAGGTGTAGTATGAGATAGAGGAAACCCGTTTGTCTAGGGATGATTGTATCTTGAAGCAAAAACAACCTGAATACCATTAATCCCTGTCCGTAAAATCGGCATTGAACTGCACGGCTGCTCGTTCCGGTTCAAAAATACGGACCAACCACCGGTCTCACGTGCCCTTACGCATCCTGACAATAATGTCTTCTCCATCCTAGATGATGACAAGGTGCAGTTAACTACTCCTTTTTAGCGCTGTCGCCACGTTCTTCATGTAAGTTCAACATGACTGTTGGAATAGTCTCGCCACTGTAGGCCCCACTAATCGCGCGAGGACTTCAGTTAGCCCCGTGCACGTCACACTTGTGTGGGAAAAGCAGTCGACACATTTGTTCCCATAGCCAAGTATTAGCACCTTGGTTGTTGGCCTGTTCGCTGAGCTCGGTACTCGGCTGCAAACCTTTCACCACCAATCGAAAAGAACACCAACCAAGCAGCGCACCAGAGCTACCCATATTTCACAACATTGTCATTGGCATGTTGTGTTAGGTCGAGCTAAGCAGTTGATCAGCTGTGTCAGCCAGACCGGTGACAATGGTGAAGCTTGTGGTTTCCACATCAATGCCAAACAACCTCAAGCTGCCGTTTATTATGAAATTCACCATGAAGTGTGAATATACAAGCCTGGAAATACGCTCATATATATATANGCACCCCACTGACAGTGCTGGATTTATGCACCAATTTACCAGCTCGCGCGTGCAATGCGCAGCTACCTCCCCCTCCCCCCAAATCATCGGTGAACGAAACTGCGGCAGCTACAACCACTGTTCGACGAGTACGCGGTTATTACAGCTGACAATTATGATGATGATGATGATGCTATCAGAGTTTGGTCTTCTGTTGCCCATACCAGATGCTTGACGAAAACCATATTTTGCTCGGGTACACTTGAAGGCACTCATCATCTGGGTCCTATTTGTTCATCGATTCTGCACGGAGGAATGAACAAAACTTTGCCAGTTTTTCAGGAAGGTGTGAAGCTCACGGATAGCAAAAACCGACGCATAATTTTGTTACAGGAGAGGAAAAACCTGTGGGCTGTTGATTCGTTCAGGTGAGTTCCCATCCTCACCGGGTTCTGGCATACACCTACTTCATTTAAGAATGTTGTGAAGGCCTCTAAGAATGGTACAAATATTTCTCACAGTTACAACTGAGCCATGAATGCGGCTAGACAATGGTGCTCGAAAAGCAAATTTTTGCACCTAATCCTTCTAGAATTCCCGGGACAACCAACATACTCAAACCGCGAAACTCTGTGTGCTGAGACGGCCGAACAATGTCGCTGATCATTCGGAACTTTCATTCAGGTTTGACCCTGAGCAAAGTTAAATCACTATTCTCCGGGTAATGTGCGCCTGATGTACGAAGTGCGTCCCCGATTGTTAACCAAAGCAATTATATTTTCAGAAAAGTCGACCACCTTAATCAATTATGAATTGGACACGATTTCGGTACGATTCCGAAGTAATTTAGTTAAATTTCAACTTCAAATGTCCCCAATTAGCGAAGAATACTACACCTCAGTTCATGCAAGCATTTGCAGAAAACCGCCGCATCAGTCAACCACGGTCGGATCGGTACTCGGACTGCGAGCCAGCCAATAAACGACGTTGATGCCGGGGAGACAAAAGTCGGCCGTCTTGTTGGATTTTGATGTTGAGGTATCACAGGTACTCGCCTAAGGAATCAGAAAGTCATTCAATGTTATGGTTTGTTATTCGGCCGCCTGCTTCAGTTTTCAGTCTTCCCGTCAGCAAACGAAACCTCGACGACTGAAGTGTGCCAACAGTAAATAATAAAATATACCTTTTTTGCGCTAAACTTCACACCGCTGTCTCTGGACGTGCCACTCTATTCATGAGATTGCCGATAAGTCTTTGACAACTCACGACAGGTTTCTCGTTTTCTGTTCTGGTTCACCAGGTGGGCGCGATCCCCAATTTGCTGTCAACTTTACGTTCAACGGGAACTCAAATTGGACGAAATTCTCCGAATACTCTCATTTTCACACGCACTTGGTTCTAACGAGAGTCTCAAACGAATTCAGGTGTCTCGTGTGCAGCACATTGAGTTGGAGAATAACATTACAAGAGGCATGTTCGGCTGGATTCAACTGAATCTTCCAGTATAGTCAAAATGGCATGCAAATAAGAGTATTTGCAAATTCAAGATCAAACTCTTTTATAACCAGGGAAGAAGGATAAAAGTGTCACCAGGAACGCGTATGCGCTAGGAAAGAGCAAGTATATTATCCCACTTGCTTATTAACCCGGCACCAGATAACCAGTGAGAAGAAAACGTTCAGTTTGTAACTTCGACTATTTTCCGGGACGCCAGATGTGCTTTCGGTTTCTGACGTCTTGGTATGTCTTGGTATCTACGCCAGGGTCCACGCTAACCTACAATATCATTCTAGAATTCGTACATGAATTACGAAATTCAGTACCTCAAAGTTTCTATACTCAAAGATTCAAAGCCATGGATCTTACTGTTAAACTCCACTGGTGTAGATGAAGCTTACCTGAAAACGTGGATCTTCAAAACTTGTGGGTAGGTATTGCACATAATGTATGGTCATTTGAAATACGGCCCCAAAANTGCACATAACGTATGGTCATTTGAAATACGGCCCCAAAAATAGTCTGAAAAGCAACCTTGTTCCATTGCATAAGCCTCAGTTGTTCCCATGTTTCTTTGCTGCGTACAACTGGCAAACTAACTAACAGGCAAAGATGATAAACCAAACTCTGCCGAACAAAGCTAGCACAGATTAGAAGCTATTTAGAGTAGGAAAGTACACCTTGACAACATTATTTACCGCACCTACACAAATCGGCTATGATTCTTCTCCGTTCTTCTCAGGCACATCGTTGATGTGCGCCAACAGATTACAGTCGCTTACCTAGGATCTAGTAGCCAGTTTCTGGCTGCCCAATAGACAAAATATACAAAAATTACAGTGTGACAACAAACCACACTTGGCATCCTTCCTCACGACTTGTTCACTCAAATTTGACGTTATTCCATTTATCCCTTCACGATTATTCGTGTTTGTCCATACCATCAGACCAGACTACCATCCTCATTCCCACCATACCGACGCACCTCTCACTACACGATGAACTTCAAAACAAATAACTGAGTTTGTATTTGCCCAAGACGTAAGTAGATTGGCTGGGCTTGTCATCGAAACCTGAGCACCATTCATAGGCCACAACCTCGAGTGTTTTTGAAATGGGAGAATAAAACATTAACCCCAAGACTAGATGAGAAATGCTCTACGGGAACTGATGTGGATACCAGGTTTAAGTATTTCTACTTCAAAAGCTATTTATTGTCAAACTGGGGTTATGCAGCAAGAAATCAGTTCCCTTCACTTGCTTCATACCTTAATACATCGTGATTATGTCAGTTGTCAGGTTATTTTTTTATTTTGCGAGATATGTGACGGAATATTTCGCTACGAAATCCCCAGTTGACTAACAGCAAACGAAGCCCTAACCGTATTGCACATGTAGATACGGATGTACGCGTACGACAGCATAACCGCAAGCTGCCCATCGATCGTATCGATCGGTACGCAGTCAAGTTTGTTTGTCTCAACGGAACTGTGCTTTCACTTGCGAACCAAGTTCTTGGTGGCATGCGACTGACTGCTGTATGTTTGCTACGTATGGTGTGTAGTGATTAATTCATCCGTTTCGATAGTAGCACTTTGTTTAAGAAAGGGTTGGTTGCTCCAAAAAGCGCGTCCCAATTTAATGAGTTCACAACATTGAACTGAGCTCGAGATAGCTCAACGATTACGACGCGAGCTTACTGACCGGAAGGGTAGACATATCGACTGCTTCTATCTAGGTTTGGGCATCCTGGCATTATCTCAGTCCTCGTGCATCCTTTGGGTGGTAGGATAGCTCGGCACCGAAAGCGTGTTACAGCTAGACGATTACTACTTATTGTCAGTGTAAGGTTGAACTGAAAGTGGACACGTGATTCCGGATTCGCTTATAAGGTCGAATTATGGCGACTTATCTGGTAGAGGATGAGCAGTAGCACATGCGATCTCTTCAACCAGCTGGTTGACATAAACCAGGGGGAATACGAAGGTATTCCGAACACAAAACGGACTATGCATTAGGTGACAAGGTGTAGACCACCTCGAGGTAATTGTATTTGTAACGCTTGGAACAGATTTCTTCAACTCGGTGGATACGCCAATTTTCTATCACGATAAAATCTAGTCCTTGTGTGCGTGCGTCATCCATCTTAGAGAGGAAAAATATTCTTCGATCGCACTGAGGCTCGTGTGACTTGATTTTCGAAGCTCACCGATGTAGCGGTTGAGAAATTACGTTTGAAATTTCAGTTCTCTCCGGCGCTATAATAAGCCACGAAAAACATAGCCAGTGGTTCAGAAAATGGATGATTAGGACAAATGTTCTTTATAGTCAGTTTGGGAGTATCTTTCTTCAAGATATTGCTCTTTGCATGGTTCCTCTAGAGGTCCTGAAATTTTGTGAGCATACATAATCCTTGTTATAATGTTTAATGTACTTCTGTGACACTGGAAGTCTCATTATTATGAAATTAGAGCACTATACTCATGTGCTGTGATCGAGACGCTTTGAAGAATAAATAACCCGGTAGTGAGAACGACAAGAATGTACTGGTTTGCCGTCATTCACTTTCGTCTCTCAGTGCTATGTGGATAAGTAGTCACAACCTTAGCGAAATACACACATTTGCAAACACATTTAGTTTCTCGACAGACTCACCTGGAAACCAGCTGGATATTTCGTTTATGATTATGACCTGAAGTTGTTTCCATGTCCAAATCTGATCAAAACTTAATTCATTAGAAAACTGCAAGCACAACCACGCGGCCGTAACCGAGACACAGTACAGACCACCAAAGCCTATGGGAAAGCCAACAGTGACAATGCTATACTACTCAAAAACAACAAACAAATCAATCAGTTGGAAAGGAGTTTGGAAGCGATCGAGAAGTCATCTTTTCAGAAGTGCTTGGTACCAGCTGTTTTCCAAGCCCTTGTGAAACAAAGAAAGGAGTTGGAAGCGATCGAGAAGTCATCTTTTCAGAAGTGCTTGGTACCAGCTGTTTTCCAAGCCCTTGTGAAACAAACAATTCTCTTCTAATGGGACTGATCCTCACCATGCAAACTTCAGCTTATATCAAGTAGGATGAATCGCCAATCACTACACTTGTTCCAACCTAAGAACTTGTAACTCCGTAGTGCCTGAAGGAGTCTTCAAACACATATCACAGAGTACTCAAAGGACGGCCTCCATTAAAGTTGAATAATTACTCTCGCCTGTTCCGCCATTTGAAACGGTCGATTAATTGTAAGACTATTCTCAGTGAGGACATCACCCACGTTTTCCAGCTGAGAACGTCTTACTCTACGCAGAAACCATCGGCTGCAACTTTGAAGGCAGTGATCAGAAAAGGATAGGTGATGTCGCTACCCGTGACTCTTCAAGTCAGACACAACCTGGCACTTCTCTGTACGGGACAGACACCAGTCCGTGATGTGCACGGTGGTGTTCTACTTTACAAACGTTCTATTATTGGAGTTATTTTGCTCCAAAATCTCAGGTTATTTGTTGAACCCTTTATTAATATGTATCACAAGCTTTTTGTGTCTGTCTGAATACACTGAACTTTCCTTAGATGCTTCAGTGACCAGACACTCCCAGTCAACTGATTCGTCGTATCATTGTCAACAAACGAAATCTGACAGGACCTCGATTCTACACAGTCAGATTATACTGATTCGTCGATCATTGTCTACAAACGAAATCTGACAGGACCTCGATTCTACGCAGTCAGATTATACACGTACCTAAGGAGAGGATTTTCCTGAACATATCTTCGTAACGAACATCTGTCCGTGAGATTTAATCGTCATGCATAGACGGGCTAGACCGCCACACATACCGAGTCATACCGTACCGAAAAGTAATGTGTTCATTTACTTGCCACTCAAATGAGACGATATAGGGGAAAATACCTGTCATAAGATTAATTCACCTTCGATGTAAACCCATTCAGATAAATACTCAAGGCTCATTCTAACCGCTAGTAAGTTCGCATTGCTGGCTAAGTGAACCACTTCGTTCAACACATTTGTCACCCGCATAAATTTATTAGCCCACTTATATTTTCAGTGCAAATACACTGGCGGAAAGGGATGGTGTTTCTCGCAAACAGTGACGTGGCACCTTTCAAGAGTTCATCAAGAACCAGCTAGACAACTATTTACAGCACGGTCTACCACACACCTACCCCAGTTTCAGCGATTACTTGACATGTGATTAAAACAGGCCATCTGTGTGACACAGAAAGCTCATTCTCGGTCTTGTTACACAATATGCAACAGGGATTGCTGAAGCCTTACTGTTCAACTTCAGTAGGCGAACCTTGCACGTCAGTAACTGGTGCTTTCCCTAAAACAAACCCTATACCCCACCACTTGTAGAATAACCTGTTGTTTTACTCACCACCTGTTGCTATGTTTCTATTTTGTAAGCACCACATGTCCGCAGCTGGCAGAAATGAATGGAATGTTGATAGATCGTGGAACGGACTAACTGAACTCAAAGTATTAAAATACTATAGCCAGGTGAAATTTGGATGGAAATCTCACCTTATGGGCGATAACGGTGACTACAGTTTAGGGAGTCTAGGTAAGCACCTTAATCTCAAACTGGGTATTACATTTGGTTCCGGTAATCTATCCTGGTGCAATATATCTTGTCTTTGAATCTGCAAAGGGTAAAGCGCATGATATTTACGAATTCGGATGTGCAACACAGTTACGTGAAGTCACGTGTATGGTTAGTATGCAAGTCTAGGCAGACAGGAGAGCGACATGACATGAACCTGCAAGTGGTCTGCTCACTGATTACGCTCAAGAACAACAAGAGGTCGAACGAGGCCGGTCGCACACACTATCAATGTGAATTCAACAATATAATTCGCGCGGAAATAATCATAGTCGGTTGATACAGCCTACAACTAGTAAGCTCTGGTCAGACCACCATGTGTCCCGTTTTCACAGGTACCAGTCACCCAACTGATCTCATAGCGACTTCTCTACGCTAGGATCTTGTGGCGAATCAGTCATGAGCGAAGTATATGTCGTTCTCTGGTTCGTTAGAAATATTCCACAGCAATTCAACCTCAATCAATTGGGTGAGGCACAACGTGATTGGTCGATTCTATGGTTCCGCGTAGAGGATATATAACATGGAATGGATGGTGAATCGCACAGGATATTTATACCATGACTATCATCGGGATCGATCTGGGGACATCCAACACATGCGCTGCTTTTTTCAGGGACGGGAAGCCAGAATTAGTTTTCGATGTTTCATGTGGAGATCGTGTTATCCCCAGTTATGTTGCTTACGATGGAAATGAATGGATGGTGGGTCCGACTGCGAAGCATAACTCGCTGGACAACCTTAAAAACACTGTGTTTGAGGCAAAGAGATTAATTGGACGTCTATATGCTGACCCAGAGGTGACAAATCGCATGTGGCTGTGGCCATTTGAAATAGTGAACAGGGATAGTGTACCCCACATACGCCTCGAAAAACAGGTATTTTCCGTGGAATTTATTCAGTCGAAGCTCTTGGAATATGTGAAGCACTGTGCTGAAAGTCAGCTAAAGGAATCGGTCAACGAGGCCGTAATCAGTGTGCCAGCCTATTTTAGTTCAGACCAGCGCGATGCAACGAAGCGAGCTGCGAAGATGGCTGGGCTATCTGTACGCCAGCTCATTCACGAACCAACGGCGGCAGCTATTGCTTATGGCTGGAAATGTCAGAGTAAGTCCGATCGAACTGTGCTCATCTACGATCTCGGCGGGGGTACATTTGACGTTTCAATACTGAAAATAACCGGTCGGTCATACTCCGTCCTGGCTGTCAATGGAGATATTAGTTTAGGTGGTCGGGACATTGACGAAAATATGGTGAAAAAATTTGTGGAAGAAGTAAAGCCTCGCAGGGACATCACCAAGGACTGCAAAGCCATTTTTGAACTTAGAGAAAAATGCGAGATAGCCAAGCGAACTCTCACATGCAATGTTAAAACCAAGCTGTTTGTGGCTGATTTGGGAGGCAAAATTGACTTTAGGCGTGATTTGTCCCAGGCCGAGTTTGTGCAACTTAATCAAGAAATATTCAACCGAACGCTAGATATAGTGAAACAGGCACTTTCCGACGCGAATTTGGAAAAAGATCAAGTGGATGAAGTCTTGATGGTTGGTGGTTCGAGCCGGATTCCTAAAATCCAGCAGATGCTTGTTGAATTTTTCGGACGGGATTGTTTGAATAAGTCGCTTAATCCAGATGAGGTCGTGGGACAGGGAGCGGCTATTTTGGCAGGCAGTTTAGAAAATGAACCTCCTGAAGAAACAAGGGGATTTGAGCTATTCGAGGTAACCCCGCGTTCACTGGGGACAGACATTTTAGGAGGCGTTGTGAGTTGCGTAGTTAAACGAAACACACGACTTCCATGTAGGAATCAGGAGAGATTTATCACCACTTTTGATAACCAAACGACGATCACAATCAGCATTTATGAAGGGGAGCGTGTTCTTCAAAAGCATAACAACTTGCTCGGTACGTTCAGTCTAACTGGAATACGCGCCGCAAAAGAGGGTGAAGTTAAAATACTGGTGAACTTTGAACTGGACGAATCTGGTTGCTTGACCGTATCAGCTGAAGAGACAGAAGGCAGCAGGAGGAACCAAATCGTTATCCAGCGAGCACAACGTCAATCAGGGGAACGCGTGGTGGAACGTGCAACATATGGTGCAGAAGGCCATGAGGAAGAAGACAAGAAGCATTTGGAACGTCGCGAACGATGGAATATCGCCTATCGCAGTATTTTTCAGATGAAACGAAACATCGAGGCAAACATTCCCGAACCACGGAAAAGTGTCCTTTTAGAAAAATGCGATGAAACTGCTCGGTGGTTTCGTGCCAACGAGCTTGTGGACGATGACGTGTGGAAACCGAAAATGGACGATTTACATTCACTATGTGGCATATGAGGAAATAAGACTATCTCGATGACAGCTTGTATGAGAAAGTCCTTCAACACCTCTTGTTTTATGAACAGTTTACTTGTCCAGTCCTTTGATTACGAAGCATGGTTCACTATTAAACTGTATCCAATGTCTGATAGACCGATATTTCCATTGCAGAAACCTTGTATATTTTGGAATTATTAATCCCCGTCACAACAGGTTTGAAGTAATGAACAAACAGTTCTTCACTGAGCGATTGGCTGGTCACTCAACCAAAATATTCGACCACGGGTAGACGACAGTGTATGGGTCATTAGGATGCCTGAGGCATCTAGCAGCACATACAAAAACAGCTTCTCCGGGAGTACGTCACATAAACTAAAGCTGCATACAATAAACGGGGGCACCAGAAGCTTGACAAGCTCTGCACATCAAGGGTCATGTTAAATAGTAAAACAGTTATGACCAGTTCACTTGAAATTCCGGATGAGTGGTTCTTTGTTTTAAACCTTTTCGAATCTGGACAGTAAGCTGTATTTTGAGTGTGAGGTGGGTGAGCTTCCGGATAAGAGGATGCGCGAAATTCTCCAGGCGTACTTCAAACGACTACTGACTTAGGCTAATAACTATGCTTATTCCGAGAGGTAAACTTAAATGTGGTAGCCGTTAGCGTTAACTGTCATCAACAATGCACTAGTAGTATACATTTGTTCCTAACTGCACTGAAAGAAGAGAATGGACCAGTAAACGGCAGAAAAGAGAAGGGGGCCTAATACAGAAAGCGACCACACCTGCAAACACCAGTGAAGTAAAAAAAATTTGAGCAGCACGTATAGTTAGATACACTAGTAGTATACATTTGTTCCTAACCGCACTGAAAGAAGAAAATGGACCAGTAAACGGTAGAAAAGCGAAGGGGGCCTAATACAGGAAGCGACCACACCTGCAAACACCAATGAAGTAAAAAATTTGAGCAGCACGTATAGTTAGATGCCATCTTCGAGAAATCCGCCTAGCACACTCTCCAGACACAAAAACAAAATTCTCGGTAGCACTTAATCTAGGAATGTGCCTGGTCCTGGGAAGATGGACCAACCTGACCCCAATCAAAGAGGCTCAACCATCCCACAGCATTCATTCAGGCAGTATCTCCCGTAATTTCGATCTGCCATGTTTTGGCTTGTCCTCCAGGAACATTCGGCCAGAAAAGGTTCTGATTAAAAGCAGTTCGACAATACACTTACGGCATTTGGGGAGGCATACTGCAGGTCTCTGATATGTTCACTCCAATGGCCGACTTGCAGCCAAAGTCAATAAACTGATCGAACATTAGTAGCACTCAATCGTAGTTGCGGAAAAGTATTTGACAGGAGCGGTTTGGGGAGGTGCAGGTCTCTGATATGTTCACTCCAATGGCCGACTTGCAGCCAAAGTCAATAAACTGATCGAACATTAGTAGCACTCAACTCAATTTGCGGAAAAGTATTTGACAGGAGCGTGGTTGACTACCGAATCTGCCTATATATATATATATATATATATATATATATATATAATATCCATTTAGTATGACATAAAAATAAGCCAAACGCCTCTCCTTGTTCTAATGTCTGGGAAATTTGAAAACTGAGATGCCTTTAGAACGAAAGCTTTGGAATAATTTATTTCGTCAGCCTTTTTGGATGAAGGTGGATACCGTGACTTCAGAAATTGGATGCGACTTATTGGTGATATTATTTCTTCTTTGGCTACTTCTTGGCAGTCTGCTTAAGCGGGTGTGTCCTTCGCGAGAGTACTCTATCTCTCTCAAGTCTCATAGAGGCCACGGAACAGAATGGTTGCCTTGGCTCCAGTTCTGGGGGATTTCTCGCGTTTGTATTCCTATACTATCGTATATAATTCAAACGGGTGTCGCTGTGACGAGGGCAGGCTGTCTAATAATTTAACGCCACATAGATAGGCCGACATCGATCAACTCATAACAGTCTATAGTGTTATTTCCACTAAATCAGGTCCAGTTAGAGAAACCCAGCTGAACGGAAAGATCGTTTGTTCGGATGATGAGAAGGATAAATCACCAGGGGGTATTGACGAATTATCCTATCAAGATTGCCGCCCATAAAGAATGCTTCCAATTGAATTGGAATTTGGAGGTTGCCTCAATCCAATAATATCGGATAATATTCACATATAGGGTATTTCTTGGTACGTATCCGACCAAAATGGAAGCGCCAATACAAATTTGAAAATGTACTTTTTGCAAATGACGAAGATATCATGAGTGCTTATTGACATTCAAAATTTGGTGGAAATGTCGTCTCCGTTTAACAAGACTCACCTTTGTTAGGGTGACAGAATTCAGTGGTCGCTAGGATTCGTGACTTAGAAGAAAAAGCATTTTAACTTAAAGATTACTCTAAATACTATGCAAACAAGTTGTATACAAATTAGACTAGGAGGTAGGAATCCATTTGGAATTGCTCCACCGCTCCGTTATTTGCAACGCTTGAGGAGGTAATTCTTCATTGTAGTCCTCATAATTATTTTAGGCGCCATAATTTTCTTGATTCCGAAAACCTTTATCTGAGAACTACGACCAATGACACCTATTTCTCAAGGATGATAAATGGTGAAGGAAGTTCAGAGGAGTGAGTCGCCACTTGAAGGATGAATTGCTGTCTGTTCACTTGGTTGGCTTTAGTGCACCCCACCGAGCTGCCTAACAATCCTAACACAATGTCGCCATTTTTGAAGGGATCCCAAGACCATTGCATTGTTGACAGAAAACTTTATAACGTTATACTTTTGTTTTTAATAGTAAAATACCATTTACCAGGCTTCAGTGACTTACAGTTGTTTGGTCTGAAAATATTTTAAACCAGTCTGGAACCTGGACAGAGTCGTGAACTTTTAGGCTTCTGAATTTTTGTTGTTTTTCTGAGTTTGTGTTCATGCTATACACTCAACTGGTCGCGTTCACAAAACTGTTGCTTTTTCTCCTGGTTGATGCAGTGTGCCATGTTCACTTATATTCGGATGACCAAGTGGTTCACTGGTGTCAAGGAAGGTGATACGGCAGTGTAGTAACAGTGAAACCAGCTTCTTCCGTCTTCGTCTACGTACCACGTATAACGTAAAGAAACAGTAACACGATCATTCATTCTGAAGTCGAACGAATTTTTGCTAGTTTCAGATATCCGTACGAAGAATAATAGAACCTTATCGGGGCTTAGGCCATGGCTCGCTTCTAAGTACTACAAAGTTATCTGAAAGGGAATGGACTGCAAACAGGCTTGCGTCAACGGTACATGGCCATATCAGTCTAAGACCCCATCAGAACTGATGCCATTTGGCGCTGCACGTAACTTTCTTACTATTTTAGACAGTTGCATTTTACGCTTTTTATAACTACCACGTTTTTACACTAAACAGTATCTAATTCTAGCCATAATTCAGCGTGCTCGCAACGGTCATCTCGGTGTCGTCCGAAACAAGGCACGAAGAGGTGAGTATTTTTGGTGGTTGAAACTAGAATTTGATGTAGAAAACGCTTTGACTGTTATGCATAGCAAACTCTGGACAAAATTGTGAAGCCTTTGCTGCACCAATCCATACCGCTGAATATCCAATACGAACAAAGGCGAAGGTTGTGACCATTTACAAAGGCGTTACCACAAAAATGGAGAAGGCTGGTTTCAACATGGTTCTACAGAAAGTGGTGTTAAGAAGTTCTTCGACACTTGACTACAATTCTCAGTTTCAAACCA